TCTAAAGAAGAAGAGTGGTGATGGCAGTGGCACTGATGACAGTGGGAAGGATTCTTGGGAATTTTGTGGCATGGAGGTTTATGAAAACCAGGGGCGGTCTGTAGGTGTGCCAGATCCCAGAAGATCGCCCGAGGCCTGAGGACTGGAGCGTGATTTCAGATCCCCAACTCCGTTGTCGTTCAATTGCTTACACGCTCACCAATGGGCTGTTGAAAAGTCACACGGAAAAAGTGGCACAAAGAAAACTTGTCTTTTTCTGGAACCTTCTGCTACCAAACCTCTCAGGAGTGGAGGAGGGAGGAAGAAAGAACCTTTGTCCGAATTTCACACAGCTCTAGAAATAAAAGCCGCATCCATGGCTGAACCATGTGGGTGAAGTCAATTGTTAGACTGTTTGGTCTATAAGGAGCCAAACAAAACGTTGAGAGGGCTGCCCGAGATTTCTGCACGCCTCCTGGATATGCAGCCTTGCCTGGGCTCACCCAGTAGGGAAGGTGTGGGTCTCAGGGAAGTGAAAGTGGGCGCAAGGTCCCATTCCTCCCTGACCATAGGCCAAAAGACTGTCCCCCTCTCTCCTGAAATGAATACCTCCTCAAGCTACCTACTGTCAGCTGCAAACATCACATGTATACCTGTAGTAGCCACCTGTTCCTGTCACTGCCAGCAGGATGGACTGTGAGAGGGTAAGGAGCCTCTGTGCTCACCTGACCAGTGGCCCTGAGATTGTTCAGTACAGTACCTGTGGGGCAAGTTAAACATGCAGATTCTCAGGCTCCATCCCAGCCATCTGAGGGGCCAGAGTGGGGGCCAACAGCCACCTTTTTAACAAGCACTGAGGGCCACACTTGGAGAAATACTTATCCAGCAGGATCCTCTGAAATACAAATGAGGAAACTGAGGCTTCAAAATGTGGGGTGACTTATCCAAGTACCACAGAACCAGCCAGCGGTAAAAATCCATTAGGACTCTGTCATTCTGACCCAAAGTAACAATAATATCAACTCAAGACAGTTCAGTGGCCCACAGGGCTCTGTTCATTCCCACATGCCCTACTACCTCTCTCCATTTCCCAAAGTCTTCTTTGGACAGCTGGAACAAAATAAGCAGAAAATTAGCATTTGGGGCAAAAATCCTCTGGACGTTAGGAACACATGAAGCCCCTAAAATATCTGCTTCTTTACTTTCTCTGTCCCCAGTTCCACCTCCTGTCTATTGCACAAAGGGTTTGAGACAGTGAAACACATCAGGAATGGGCGAAAGGCTGGTACGAGACAAATACAATCAAATAGCTAAATAAACTTCAGAATTCAAAAGGAAACTAGAATTTTAGCCCAAATTAACATGCGGTTGAATTAATACTTGTGCTTCTATCCATCTCTATTTATGACTGGGTAGTGCCACAGGCTTTGCCTCACAAAAGACCATTTTGTACACATCCATTTAGGGTTGAAAACATAATCTTCCGAGATTATCAGAGGAATCCAAGGTGGAGGTGATTTCCCCCTCTTGTGTGCTTGAACTTGGGAAGACTTTCAACATAATGGTTGACATATAAAAGACATTTATAATAATTACTTAGGCACTAATGACAGTTTGGACAATAAGAAGTCTGGTTCCAAAGTTCCTTGACCAGCAGTGTTTGCAGTGACTAAGAGCCATGTAGACAGCAGGCATCGACTTTGCCTGACCTTTGCACTTGTAATAAAAATGCAATAAAGTAATTGGTTAAAATAGAGACATGCCTGATAAAGAATATTTGCTTTTTAAAGTAACTGGTTAAAATGGGAGCCTATCTGATAAATGAGTTTATGGGGGGACAGAAGGCCACGCCTCACTAATTAGTCAAGACTCTGTTTCCTACAAGATCCTTTGAAGAGAAATGAAGCGATGGAACAATGAAAATGTTCCATAATATTGACCAATAGCACATCTATTCCTCAAATAATAGAGAGTTGTTTACATGCTATAACACTTGTTTTAAAATTCCCTTGCTTCCCAACACAAAGACACAGCCTTCTATGGCATATTTAATCAGAAAACTGGTTCCCACCAGGACACCGATATACTTTGACCTTCTTTGCCATAAAGCAGAAGACCCTGAAATGTAGGAAATGTGTAGCCCCTGGCCTCTTAATTCATTGCCATCTACACCACAGTTGAGAATCCATGAGTGTCTGGATCAATCTTATTTCCCTTGAGAATTTGCTCTACATGAGGTTCCTTTCAAAGAGTCCCAATTTTTTAATTAAAATTTTATTTCTTAATAATTAAATATATAAAGAACGGCATTCAGTATGATTATGATCAGGCCAGAGTACATTATACATGGCAACAGTAATAAGAATGACAAGGACAAGGGTACCATAAATAAGCATGCATTGATTCTTCACCTTTTTGTGTCCCCCTAATAGCAATTAATGAACCTGGAAGGAGGCCATATTGGCTTGGGACACTGTGTAAAATAGAGGCCCCTAGTACTCAAGAATTGATGCTCCCTGAGCTGCCCTTGGCCTGGCCCTAGTGACTGACTTTAATTAAAGTCCTCGAGGGCACCGTCTCCTTCTGGGATAAACTATATCTTCCCTAGAGGCTCCCAACCTTTGGCCAGTTTGGGGAAGCTACAGAGAGTGAAACAATCTTCGAGGACTTACTCTTAAGGCAAAAAAGCTGTCTCTTTACACAACCTGGCAAAGGGAGAGAGAAAATTCCAGAATCATGGTGCCACCTACCCTGGCATCCAAGCCTAGGAGCATGACATTAGGGCTGCAGACAACACCAGGCCTTATGTTCATAACCACTTAGTACTTAACAGGGTATCTGCCTAGACACAATGCTCTGCTGGGAAAGAGGCATATTACCCAGATGAAATCCAGAAGAAATGCCCCTGCTACTTCCTAGTCCAACTGCATCCTGCTCTATCTTTCCCTCATGGTTAGTAACAAAGACTTATTTTTTAAGACTTGCCTATTTAGAAAGAAATCTCAATTCAGCAGAACCCACCTAACTACAGTCTTTGGTTAAGTGGATGTTCCCCCTGGAATAAACGTTTTTTTTTTTTTTTTTAATATTTATTTTTGAGAGAGAGAGAGAGAGAGAAACGGAGTGTGAGCGTGGGAGGGGCAAAGACAGAGGGAGACCCAGAATCCGAAGCAGCTTCAGGCTCTGAGCTGTCAGCATACAGCCCAACGTGGGGCTCCAACTCACGAACCGTGAGATCATGACCTGAGCTAAAGTCGGACGCTTAACTGACTGAGCCGCCCAGGAGCCCCAATAAACGTTTTTAATACTTATAATAGTGAACACTTGCATAGTATTTTGCCATGTACCAGGCACTGTACTAAGCACTTTACACTTAAGCTGCATAATAAAAGTTGAGGCAAGTTCTCTATTATTATCTCAATCTCCTAGATGACAATCTGGGAGTCAGAGAAGTCACACAGCTAGGTCTGCAAGACTGCACAGTGAGCACTGGCACTCAGAGAAGAGCTTCTTAAATCCAACACACTCCTCTGTTAGTAAAGATTGAATTCTGGCCACAAGACTGGGCTTGTTGTAGCCAGGAGAACGCTTAGATGTTGGGGAGCATTATTGAAAACATCAAGTGTTAAAACAAAGTGAATTGAGTGATGAAACTTTAGTTGTCCCAGAAATTAAATGAATTTGTGGACTCCAATAATTCTCTGGTTCTCTCCTTTCCCTCGACATCACTCTCCCTGGCCCTGTGTGAGTCGTCCCCCGAGGACTAAAGTGCCCCCAACATCCAAAGTGACTTCCAGGAAAAACACTCCTATTTTTGGCACTGGAAGGAAGATTCAGGATGCAGGTGTCAAAACAGAGCTCCCCAGACTTACACTTCAGCCCCCACAGGTACTTGAGCATTACACTGATGCCAAACTGGCCTGAAAGGAAGTCTCAAAGATTATCTCAATAGACCCCCAAATGACTAAGAATGCGAGCTCCCGTCTCTGCTAGGCTTTAAAAGAAGTGGTCTGACTACCATAGGGCCTTTCAATGTATCATGGGGCCCTGGAGGAGGTAATGTAACTATTTTATAATCTGGGAAGATAACTAGGGCTAGGAGGAGAATTGGTGGAGTGGTCATGTTGAAAGAAGGAAAATCCTTCCCTTTTCCTTCCCCAGTGAACATGGACACAGACACCAACTCACGGTGGCCATCAACGTCAGGTGAGAGTGCTGTTTAGACACACTTGCTGAACTTTTACCATATCCCAGGCTCTATTCTCAGTCCTTCACCTACACTGTATCATTCATAACCCCATGAGGTAAATTCTATTATTAGCCCAATTATAGCCCAGGGAAACTATGGCACAGGGAAGTTAAGTAACTCACCTACAAATAGGCAGTCTGACTCTAGAGCCTAGGATGAAACTAGGGCTTAATAAAGGAATATCGATTTGATTAACTGAGAGACTACTGTGCTGTGGTTAGTCACTCTTGCACTCTAAGTAAGCATTAAGTCCACACAAGACAAACATTTGACCAGCTCTCTGATAAGGCTGGAATGTCCAGTTGCAAAAACACAAGGCCAACACATTTCTCTGGGAGAAATGACCAAAAATGAGAGGAAGCGGTGGCTGGAGGCTGGATGGTAGAACACAGTTGAGATGTTCCAAGTCTTCGCAGGTAATCTGGGGACCTGGCTGGCATCACATTCCGGTTACAGAGACAAATTCCCAGACTACCCTTGGTCTGGGGAAAGTTCATGTGTCCTCTGTAAGTATCCTCCGAGGGCTGAAAGCAGCTTTCCTCCCACAGTCCTCGTCATATCAAACCAGGGCATTTGGAGACTGGAAAAAGCCATAATCCCTCCTTACATTTTTGTCCCCTATAGTCACAGGATTGATATGTGGAAAAGGCACCCCATAAATGGGTTTGGTTTTCTAAAGCTCTTCATGGTTGCTAGGCAAATCAAATGAGAACAGCCTCTAGCTCATATCCTTTGGGGACAGGAAACCCACGCCTCACAAAGCCCTCTTGAGATGTCTGCAGACTGCCCAACGTCTTCCCGAGATGCTTCTTCCTCTTACAGCACGTTGTGCACCAGCCCCGATGCTTCAGCCTCTGCGGATTTAATCAAGGTTGCTCTGCTCATGTCCAGTGTCAACCATATTCCTTTTGTCTACAGATCTGACAACAGAGGGAAGAGCTTCCTGGGGGGAGCTGCCCAGACTCAGGCCCCCTTTGTTGTGTCTCCAAATCCTCCCTTCCAATCCTGGCACTTTGCAGAAGGCTCTGTGTCCCCACTCAGCGATGGCACCTTGCTTGTATTGCTGTTTCCCTATTTACTTTCCCTGATTTGAATTGTGATGAACCAGGCTAAGCTTTTGGGAAATTAAGCAATTTTACAAACTGCAACTTTGCACAAATGGTTAAAACCAAAAGCAGTTGGGGCGCCTGGGTGGCGCAGTCGGTTAAGCGTCCGACTTCAGCCAGGTCACGATCTCGCGGTCCGTGAGTTCGAGCCCCGCGTCGGGCTCTGGGCTGATGGCTCAGAGCCTGGAGCCTGTTTCAGATTCTGTGTCTCCCTCTCTCTCTGCCCCTCCCCCGTTCATGCTCTGTCTCTCTCTGTCCCAAAAATAAATAAACGTTGAAAACCAAAAGCAGCACATGTTTTAAAGATTGGCTTACTTTGCCCAAAGGGTTAATTCCATGGGGGTTCCCTACAAAAACGCTATTTCCAACAGCTGACAGAGCAAAAATTACAAGGAATGTACATTCTGAGTGAAATACCCAATTCAAAGATTTTTCAACAGAGATTTCTAGGTCTCTGAACCCCAGACAGTGCACACCTTGGCTGTCATTTTCTCAGTAGCCCATTTTCCCCACTGTGCCAATTCTTTGACTTCCTGTTCCCAAGAATACAGGTAATAATGAGGGCTAAAGATACAAAGGCTTACAGGTGACCTCTGCATGATTCTAAGTCAACTTTGGGAAAAGCAAAGAAGTGAGTCAGCCAGTCTCCTGATTCGCCCCCGCACCACAGAATTACCAATTTGGTTGATACTATTTACTAAATTAAATTGTCTTCACACTGAATTGACCAGCTCCAGCACCGAGCAGGGCATGAAGAGTGTATTAGGAGTAGTTCTTGCCGGCAACTGGGTTAGGTTCACATATAAATTTTCAGCCTCAGAATGAAACAGTCCTAGCTGTAAAGTGTTTAACTCAACCACTCAAAACCATGTCCCTCTGTGCCCGCTTTGAGTTTGTGGGCCTTTCAACAGCTCGACTGTTCCACTGACCTATTTACTTTCAGTTTTTGGCCCCTCTTGCCACTAGGGAAGGAGGAAGGTGTTTTAGCAACAGTCGTCTCATAATCCTAAATCCTCTTTTAGGAAGTGGCAACAATCAAAATGCGATTTCATTCATGCTAATCTGTTCACAGAAATGGGAATCAGCTCATTAGGGAGTCAGTGGTAAGCTACCAAGGAAAGAAACAGCAGATTCTTCTTTCCTAGACCCCCCACGTCTTTGGCTGACCTCTCTGGGATCCTCCAGGTTCCGAATGAGCCACAGGAGGGCTCCCAGAGGTTTCCTGGAATGCAGAAGCAGGTGGAGAACCGTAATTAAGGCTCAACTCAAGGTGCAGACACAAAGACAGTTTAAGTTCAAAGTGCTTCCCCGCCCTGGCAGTTGCTCAGGTGGCAGTAATTGAGGACAGGGAGAAAAGTGACAGGTGCTGTGGACACCAGCTTAACAAGAACAAGCTCAGACTTGGGGAGTCTGCCGGACAGGTGAGCATTGCTTATCCTCTTTTCAGCAAGGTGCAAGGAGCTGCTGGGATCTTTCAGTATAAAGAAACTGGTGACGACCCTGAATGTGGGGCTTCAGAGCAGAAAACTGGGTGTAGGTCTAGACTCCTGTCCTCTGGCCCAGTCTGGGATCCTCTATAATCCTCTGCAGGCCTGTTTGGATGAACGATTTCCCTTACCCCGGTTTGGATGAATGACTTCCCTTACCCTGTGCCCACATCCTTAGACATCAAAGGACGTTGCCATGCCTGGGCACTTACACAAGGTTTGAGAGAGGCCATCCTCCTTTTGCATGTTTGGCCCATCTCTTTTATACCTATAAGCCCCCTGGCCTGGGAATTTGCCTCTTGGGAATTAGGCTCCTCATTTAATCTGAGCCATGAAGAGGCCATGAAACTAACCTTGGCTGATCAAGGCAAAGTACACTCCTCTGTACTGATCCAAGACCAAGAGCATCTGGGGCTGCAAAGGTATCTTTACCTTCCTTTTTAAGGAGGAAAAGAACTGCGCTGCTCACATGGTCCCCACTCATCTCCAGCTGACAAAAGACCTTGAAAAGGAAGAACTAAGAGTTCAGAAAGGCATGACCCCTACCTTCCCTAACTTCTCTCCACCCCCCACTCCATCTCCTTTGCATCTCTTTCCAACTAAGGAAAGGGTGTTATTGGCCAATTAGGAGTCCTTGACTGATTCAGGAAAGTTAATCTCATTGACATAAACTCGGCCTCTAAAATCCAAACTGTTAGCAGACTTTTTTGAGATTTAATCCTTGGAAGCCAGCAACTGCTCTATCCCATGGAATCTCCATTGACATGCTACCTGCAAACTGTCAGATAGTTTCTTCTAGGTTGAGCATTCGAATCAAATTGGATCATTATCTGTACCTTCTTTGCTCTTCACAGCTTTAAAGTTCCCTGAGGGGAAGAAGAATCTGGAGGTTTCGTGGTTGGTAGTTGGGTTTGTGGACATTAGCAAGTTGCCTTGTAAAAATTTGAGTGGAAAGAGCCTATAAAGAAAGAAGGGCCAGATGGAATTCCCTATTCCAGGACTTTTTTTTTTTTTTTTTAAAGGAATGGGCATTTTAAAGTCTCCCAACAACTTAGGACTTGGGCGGGCATTCAGATGCTTCTTCTTAGGAACAGGATTTAGAACCAAAAACTAGGCTTCCAAAGCTCACCAATGAGCAGAAGAATCAAGGTGAATTGACAGACAGCAACATCTTTTAGAGTAATTGGAAGCAATTATCATGTAACTTCCGATTCATCAGGGACCTAGCCCACCAGCACTAAGACTTTTAAAAAGAATGTTAGACTGTTTTGCTGTTTAACATGAAATTGGACAGAGAAATTGGTGTCATGGTCTACATTCTTCTACTACAAATTAGCAGGTATCCTTTGCTCAAAATATCCAAGGCTTTTGTTGTGGAGCCAAAATTGATCAAAGGTTACTGCAATCTAAAAACAAAAGAAAGAAAGGGAGAGAGAATTCTCCAGTTGCCTGGTTGCTAAGCAACCATAGTCTGTTCTGGTAACTGGGTCCGGGGGTCTTTGCTTTCATTTGCTGCTGACTTTCACTCCATATATAATATATACCAGCATGTTTATTCTCCTGTAAATGCCCAGCAAAAAAAAAGTGATAAAGCCCTTTCACTGAAATTATTCATGTGCTAAAAGCTTTTATCCACATCTCTGGTGTGATTGACAATATCATACCAGCAAGCTTCCAGAATTAGTTCTTGTTCTGCTATTGTACTCCTGGGCTTTCTTTCTTTAATAAAAGAAAAAGAGCTACAGTTTTATTTAAGCTTTCTATAGTCTGGCATTACAGCTCCTTAGTACCAATGATTAAGATGTCATGTCTATTCCAGGCACGTTTTTTCCTTCTAGTTGCTGTCAACTTTCTGGAGAAACTACCTTTCACATGATTTTGCCCCCTTAAAAACTTTGGGTTGCCCTTAGACCTCATCCACAGGAGAGAATTTGAATGAGTTATTAGTACATTTCTGAGAGCCTTTAAGGACATCCAAATGGTATGTGACACACTTCAGACTGTTTCTCAAAGTATGTACCAAGGACCACTTACATCAAAATAAAAATTCAAGGGCTAGGCCTGGGGATCTCCATCTTATCCAACACCGTGTGCCTCTCCCCACCAGGCAACTGTGGTGCACACTGAAGTTTGAACACCACTGCCTGAAAGGACTTGATTGTTTTCATTTGTTCAGATTAATCCATCCTGGCCAAACCTTTATTTTGAATTCAGAGATAGAGAGTATCTATTTGGCCAAAGGCTTCAGGATCCCTCAGAAACGACCAGTTCTTATGGTTAATGGCTGGCTGTCAGCAGCTGTCAGCACTGGCAACCAGGCTCCTCACTCCCTCACCAGGAAAGCAGCCCACAAGACAGGGGCCTTAACGGCAAAGATGACCACACATACGAGGCTGGCCACAAGCACAAAGGGGTAGCTTGCTGGTCAACCCCATCTCCCCTTTTCCTTTACCTAAAGATTTTACCTTGGCACTGAAGATTCATACCCAAAAATGTATGTAGCAGGTGCAAATTTCATGAGTCACAAACTCAAGGGTTTTCTCTCTAACAGGATTTCATTTATTCATCAATATCTCATTTCTACCTGATGGCCAGAAACTCAATCTTACTAATTCCAGGAAAACGTCAAATTCAGTGATAATCCTTTCAGGTTTAAATCTCAATCACATTTGGGATTTCTCACCCTCCTTGTGCCTTTCTGCAGCTGATCCTAAGCTCCAGGGGGGAAGAAGGCACAGAGCTTGTGCAATGTTGTTGTGGCCCAGTGTAGACAGGAACAACTCCTTCTCCACCCTGAACTAGCTACATCCTCTGCTTCTATGTAGGCACACCATGGGTGTTCTGCTTATCTTCCAGGCTCTGCAGAAGGGCCCTTACTGGCTACCCAGCTCTAAGCCTCCCAGGAAAAACCTAGAGATTGTTCTGGCCATCTTTTGCCTGCACATACCTCATCCACCATCAGTTCTGTTCCACCACTGCCCCACCCTGACAGTTTGGAGAACTTGACTATGAGTCTTATTGAGTCCCTGGGCCTCATCCTGGAAGCAAATCACACAAGCCCTCTCTGCCCTCACATTTGCAAATATAAATGGGGGTTCCAAGAAGAAGGAATAGTTATTTCCCTCCCCTGAACCTAACACCCTATCTCCTTTCCTGTCAATTTCTTCATTCCTGCAAGAAAGAAACATATCCTAGATGTTTCCACCTCCTCTGTCTAAGTGAAGATGGGGAAGATACAAGGTCCATATCAGAACCCGAACCCCTATAAGTTTCAATCTAAGGGAGAATGGGGATGGGGTATGAGTGAGGAGTAAGTAAAGGAACTGCAGAAATAACAACAACCAACAAAAGACAAACCTCTATATCTCATCACACCACTGCTACATGGGGCCCCGGAACTAGATTTACAGGGCAAAATAAACATACACACAGAATGAGTGAAAACACCATCAACTCTGGCTCTTGGTTAAGAAAGAGCCCCATGGTTAGATATCCAGTGAAGTGCCTCAGCAGTAGATTTCAGTCTTTCTTATCTTGCCGTCAAATTGTAGCAATTGTCAAGACTTTGGACATCATCTCCTAATTGATTGTACTAATCAGGACCACCACCATTACATGGGGCAAAGCTCTGCCTCCAAATGACTAAAGAGGGGACTTACTGATTTGCATAAGGGAGGTTTTAGGTACAATGGACCTGGGGCCACAAATGATGTTGTCAGGGCTCAGTTTCTCCATCTCCTGGTTCTACGTCCTGCTGCCTGACTTCAGTCTGTCTTCTGTGCTATGCAAGATAGTCTCTGGCAGCCCCAAACTCACATGCTCCTTGTTTAACAATCCCAGTGGAAACTGACAGGAGTCAACATAGCTCTAGCAGGAAGTCCCAGGGAAGGTTTTCATTGGCCTAACTAAGGCCCACTTCTCACTCTGGACTAATCGCTAGGCAGGGGGGCAAAATGGAACAGGTCTTGCTCAAGGAGGAGGAGTTCGGTGGCCAGGTGCAAAGGAATGTTCCGGGCAACTAATGTCAAATGTCCACCAACCTGATGACCCCATCATGATTCTTTTATCCCTTTGCACCAACAGAGTAACTATCTTAAAGCATAAATGCTCATAACTCCTCACTTCAGTCATCAATCCTATATTTAATATGTATTGAATGCCCACTATGTACCAAGGGCTGGCTAGGTCTTGAAAATATCAAGGAATGAACAGACAAGATCCTTCTTGTAGGGAGCCTACTTCTACTCCAGACACCCCTTCCAAGTCCTTCACCTTTCTCTCCAACATCATTTTCTTCTCCATACTGCCTATCAGGCCACAGGGAACTGGCCATCGTCTGTCTCCATGTCAGTCCATGTTACACCATCAGTCTGGAACAGATTTGCTCATCTATAAATAAATTTGAAATATTTCCTACCTGCTGTACTTTTCAAAGTTGAGTCATCTTTCAATGCCCACTCCAATGTGTCCTCTTCCAGACGCCATCCCAATTACCCCACCAGAATTACTCACTCCTCCCTCTGCAATCCCACAGCACTGGATTTTTACCCCAGTGCAGCACAAATTCCATTCTGTTCAGGATCCTGGTTATTTGCATGTGTGTTTTCTCCAATGAATTGCAATCTCCTGGAAGTGTTCTTTAAGTCCTTGATTCCTCCCTTCAGAGCACAGCTCAGTGCTATGCACATAGCTGGTGTCTATTAACTTAGTTAAATAAAACAGGAAAGGCTAAGCAGAAAAGTATTTCAGTGCTATCTGCCCTTGAGTTTACCCTCACTTTGGCCATTTGCTGGTGTTAACCTAGGCCATTGTGTGACACACATAATTATAATTCAGTTCTGAGCATCTGTGGGTAAACAGATGTGAACACCATCATCAAATTCTCCACTTCTAAACCTGCTGTTTGGTGGCCAACTATGTGACCAAACATAGTTCTTCTGTTTTCCCAGAATTCTGGTTAAGATTCAAGTCTGGAGGCAACATGCTTAGCTCAGAAAACTCCCAGGAGTTAAAGTCCTTCTTTCAATACTGATTGAGAGGGGTCATTTTATTTTATTTTATTTTATTTTTAATTTTTTTTTCAACGT